AAATTTTATAAGGAATGCTTAATTTATATGTTTTTTCCTTTTGCAATTTCAAAAATATATCTATACTAGTATCCTGAACTGTTATACGAATCGGTTACCTTAAATCTCATTTTTATATACGGGGCCTTGAGATACATGTAAAATGATAAACACATTTTAATGACTCAAATTGTATCGTATGTCTGCATGTTATCTACGCATATATCTCTGTTTGATGTTTAACAATCTAACTTTTGAATTCTCAACACTTACCTACATCGTTTATTACATTATGTTCATACTACTAAACGTCCCTGTAAAATACACCCACTTGTACTTTAAAAATTTTTGAGAATATTTATGTCATTTATATTGAAAAAGTGTCGTTAAGAGACACAATCGTATACAATATCAGAAGTGCATTAGGAGTAATCGGGCATAATACAAATATATAACACTGGTACTCTAAGTACTCTAACCAGGTAAGGGCATTTTAGTTTGCTGTTTACTGATGCAAGGAAAAGGTTCTGTTCAGAATATATGGTTTTTGCAAAAAAAAAAATGAAATAAAATAATGGCTTTATTTCAGATTAAAGATAGACCATTCACTATTGGAGAGCATAAAGATATCTTTTCTCCCTTAATCTCGCTTAATCTTGATCACTAACACAAAAATCTATTGTAGTAAATTTTTAATGTGCAAATAAGCTACAATCTTTGCTAATAAGAAAAATAACAAGAGTTTACTTATGATACATTAAATGGGTACAGGTTCATTACTGTATTTAAAGATTCATGACAAACGTAAACTTTTTAAATGTTTTCCATCTAGCAAAATAGATGAAAGCGTTTTTTTTAAAATATTGTTGGATTCCGTATATTTAAGCTAAAACACCTAAAATAAATCAGAATTTCTTATCCGTGATTCAGATCTTAATTTTTGAATTATCACATTCAAAAGAAATTTTTCTAAACAGGAAGTCATTGCTGTTATTCCATTTTACTGAATGTAGAGCATCCGAGGTAGTCAGTCTTTTACACTGTACTTCCGTTTCTAGTGAGGACAATATGGCAACTTCCTTGTATCATCAGAAGAAACAGAGGCGTCGCTCGAATTGTAAAGTTTTCCTTTCAAATGAGTTTTTCCGAGTCAGAGGAAGCGTGGGCTGTGTATGGTATGTGAAATTGTACATCATTAATAGATTTATATACCTTAGATCCTTTATAATGCAACAACTATACCGAGAATTCAAAATTAATATGAAAAAAGTCTTATTGTGAACATTATATCCGATTTTGAATTAACGGTTTTGTCCAATAAAGGTGGAAAAATGATATATTTAAGATTTTTATAGTAAAGCGTATGGCTGAATTATACATGTGATACTAAGAAGCACAAAAACTCCTTGCTGCAATAGTTCACGACAGGATTAATGGAATCAACCTTCTTTACAACAGAAATTTCAAAAGGCTTGACTTCTACGCTTTCCTCTTGCAATTTTAATACATGTATCACCGTGTACAAATATCCACTTATTAAATACATTTGGTTCTATGTTTTGTTCTTTTGCTAAAGGAAAGGGTAGTTACACTTAACACTAAAAATATTGATTTTTTTAATGTGTAAAAATTTTGGTTTTTATATCGACTTCCTACTCTAATACAAAATTTCACATTTCTTGTCTTCCTTGTTTTTTCATTTGTTTTCCTTTGTTTAGGTTTGTTTATTTATCCATTTTTTTTTTTTTAATTTTTTTTAAATCAAAATGAACTACTGCTTCAAGCGAGATATTCTGTAGAGACTCTGAAATATGTTTTTGGGTGTCTGGTAGCAGATCCTGCATTTTTGTAAACTTTCTACGTCTTTAAATTTAGAACTACTACAAGTACATATGTACTTCAGAAAGTAATTTCTTTAAAGAGACACCGTGACGGAAAAGGGGAAAATTAAGTAGAATTTTTGCAAGACACATGCAAATTTTGTTCAATTCTTGAAGATATAAGATTTCAGAAAATTACAGGATTCAGAACCTAAAATATCTACTTTTATGGAGAAAAATAAAAGTAAAAATAATTTTTGTTTGCCCCAACACAAAAAATTGCTTCACTTCTTCCTCTTTATTGTACGCATGCGCAGAAAAGTTGAAGAATTTACCATGGTGTCAATTCCATAGATATAAATGTCGGATGTCCGAGGATTTTGATACAATCTCCAATAAAGATGATTAGAACTTATTCTCACTTTTCCTTGCTCCAATTCAATGCTGTTTAAAAGTTTCACGCTAAGAATAAAAGTCGCGTGACCTTGACATTTGTTGACATTGACGATAACAACTAAGCGATAGATACAACCTTATCTTCTCCGGCACTTTCATTTTGCAGTTCTTTTCTTGCTTTACATTGCAGTTGAGTAGTTAAAACTTCGTTTTTTTCCTATTTAACATAAATCTTCTGTTTTATGATAAAATTCTCTTAAAAGAAACACATGATTTTGACTCATTATGTAACTTTAACTAGGGATCAATGACTGGTTTATCAACAATTAATGATTTTCTTTCCGTGTTTGTTTTTGTTTTGTTTTTGTATCAAGATAATAATTTAAAGGGTAGGGTGTTAACTGTAATACAAATATGTTTTGAAATAAAAGGATGCAACAGACAGTCCTTTACTCATGACACTTTAAAAAAACTATGCACATTGATATATCCCTGTGCTTGCAATTCTTCGGATGCTTCATGTGGTCAAATTAGCTGAAAAATCAAGTCCTTCAAGCTACATGGCAACGTACTTTGAAAAAATTACGCACTTTGAAAAAATTTTTCAAAGTGCGTTAAAATTGGGACAAAATCAACGCACTTTGAAAAAAATTTTCAAAGTGCAATAAGAGTGTACATCAACATTTTTTTACCATTGAGGCACTTAACGCACTTTGAAAAAAAATGTATAAAACTAAATTCTGGACATAGATTTTAGTAATAGACAGCATTATTTTGTTATATTTCTTTCGAAAAACTGATGAACTGATCTACAAAGGAGAATCCAGGAATTTCATAACAGGGGAGGGTGCGCAGTAGAAGGCAGGGGTCTAGGTGATGCATTGAAGCCACCATTAGGTCCAGGGCAAATCCCTGGTGGGAGTCCGGGGACGAGGGCTCCGGAAGCTGACGAATTCTTACATATAAGAGTTTTTTTACATGTAAAAAAAATAAGTGCAAACGGGGGGGGGGGGGGTGCGCCGACGCTGAATCCCCGTTTGATCTACCCTCATCGAGAATGAGGAGAAGACAAGTAGAAGGTCCCTCAGCCCAACTCTTTATCTTTCCTACCTAAATATATGTATTTACATAACTGGTATGACATTGATATTATTTCTCTCATTAAATTTGAGTTAACACAAAATAGATGAAAAAATTGAGATGAGCTTCCCTGAAAAAAAAAAACAAAAACAAACCCTATTATATTAAAGAAGAGGCTCATTTTCAGTGGAAAAATCATAATTGCTTCCTTTTCCCTAAGAGAAATGCGATGCTAAAAGTCACTTATCGACCCTATATCTACCAAATTTATTACAGACTGTAAAAATAAATAAAAAGGAAACGAAATTGTGCTATTAAACAATCATTAAAAAATCCTCCATTATTTCCAAAAGACCCAATACCCTTTTTTATTACATTTTCAACAGTGAAATACTGTGATTTATTTATTGAATAAAAGTGATATTCTCTCACAGTGTGAAAGGATACCAAAATGATATTCTCTCACAGTGTGAAAGGATATCAAAGTAAGTAAGAAAAATAATTTCTGGACTGTCATAAGATAGAGATAGTAACTAACGATCTTGATAGAGCTAAAACTGCAAATTTCTTCCCAAATATGTTGCTAAAAGCCATGCTATGTAATGTTTTCAATCTCAGAACTGCTAAGCTGTGACGTCTCAACCGCTCAACTATGACGTCAAGCCTATGACACTGTGTTAAGAAAAGACAGAGGCAAAGGGAAAATCAAAGAAAATGTAATAAACAGAAAATTCAATGTTTTGTAGGTGAATATGGAATTTATTTCACGAGTGGGACAGGATTTTTTGATATTTTCACGAGTGCGAAGCACGAGTGAAAATATCAAAAAATCCTGTCCCACTCGTGAAATAAATTCCATATTCACCTACAAAACATTGAATATCCTCTATATAACATTTACGAGAACCTTTGGGAACAACTCCTAAAAACCTTTCAAACGTCTATATCTCAGATCCTGAAGCGACGTCATCACCGAAAAGTTATCCAAACGGATGCAGATAATTATTTATCAAACCTAAAATTTGCAAGAATATTGACCATCCGTGCACATTTATTTTTTCAAAGTGGTCGATATGGTCGATATTAACGCACTTTGAAAAGAAATATACTTTTTTTCAAAGTGCGTTAACTTGGTCCCAAATTTAACGCACTTTGAAAATTTTATTTCAAAGTACGCAATTTTTCAAAGTGCGTTGTAACAAAGCTACACAATAGTTACAATATTTCAAGTAAGTTATTAGCAGACATGTCTAAAAATAAATAAATAACAATTTCCCAAAGAATAAAACAGCTGGTGCTGTTTGTTTTAGCCTTTGTGATAACTCTTCTATGATTTATAGAATCCATTATATGAACTGAAAGTAGAAAAAAAAAAAGTGACGTATTAACGTTCCTTATCTAAATATATATATTTTTAAAACGTTCCAGACGTCCAAGTTCAAATTATTAGAGTACATTTACTTAATGAATATTTTAACCAAAAACAAAAACAATTGCCCGAAAAAAAAAAACAAATCCTGTATTATTTCAATCAAGTCTGTATACAGAACTGAACCAAATAGACGAAATGACATTGATTTCCCCTTTTAATTCTATAAATATAGTACATTTGAAATCTAGGAACATCACAGATTAATGAAACACAAAGAGAAAACCGTTTCTATTTTAAGTAACCCCATTTTTGCACTGTGAATTACACCAGAAGTTTAAAATCGAGAAAAATAGTTTTAAAAAGTTCAGAGTTTATAACAGAAGCAACAACAATGAAAAAAATCTGTATAATTAAATAAAGCAATGGTCTCGTCAGATGATATTGCATTTAAAATAAGTTCTCCTGAAAACAAAAGGTAGTGACCATTATGTTCCTGATCAGTATCTCGATAATGTCACGATGTTTTAATGTTTTAGAAAGTGTTTATGATATTTATATCACTATCTTCAATTCAGCCTTCCCAAAAGCCGCATAAACCAGCCGTAATCGTCAAACCTGTAAAACAAAAAGCACTCTTATCCATTGTCCAAATTCCTTTTCCAATTGACAAACAAATTTTATATGTATAAACAAAAATTATCTCGCCAGATGATGGGCGTGTATGATACTAATGAATTTTGTTCATTAATTATAACTGTTTTCATATGAAGATTTTTTTCTTTCATTACAGAATGAAGGGTAATTGAGATAATTTCCCTGTATATTGACGCCTTGATATCAAAGGATTATTGAATTTACATTGGTGAATATTGGTTTTAGTTGACTGTACACATTGTACATTCAATGATTGCCAATATTCACCAATATAAGTTCTTAATCTTTACTATATAGTTAAAACATTTTTCTTGTTTTTATATTGATTTTTTTTAAATAAGATAACTCAAATTTAATGATAATTAATAGGTACCGGTATTCATAGCAGTGTTCAATATTAGCGACTGTCTTGGAAGTGTTCAATATCATGTTTTGAAAATAGTCCTTAAATGTATCAAAATTTTCTCACTGGGGATTATACTGAGACTTACAGGCACAACCTTCAGGATAAATCCTACTGAATTAACACAGCTATCTCTTGTGAAGAAAGAATATATGAAACATTCCTTTTTATTAAATGAATTAATAATCATGAAACGTTGAATCTGACTGCCATGGTTTAATCTAGTGCTAAATTTTTATATTTTATTTTCTTTTTCAAAGCAAATACTTCGTGTTGTAAAAGTGTTTATTTATCACTGGACATTAATTTCTATTTTATCATTTTGATTTTTTGTAGATTTACTTTATTTATTTATCATGTATGTGTAATACATGCATGAATATGTAGGAGGGTTTCCATTACTGAAAAAAAGGTGAAGATAACGAACGGTGATCCATCTCAAAAAATCTACAAAAAATACAAATCTGTAAACAGGGCATGAAAGACGGACCCTTGAAATTCCAGACATGGGATCAGGTGCCTAGGAGGAGTATGCATCCCCTGTTGACACGTTACATCCATCGTGAGCCCTATGTATTGATCAGGCAGACGGAACATTTAGTCGTCAAATTAAATATAAGAACAAAGGCCTTACAATTGGTATGTAACACTTCCGCCAAAATACGACCCAGTGATAGGTAATATTTGCTAACAAGGTCATTATAACGACCATAGAATTTACGAAATGCTGATTTTGAACAAAGATGTTGAAGTCTCTGTACTAAATTTCGTGTACAATGATGCTTTTGTCAAACGGAATGGCACCAGAGGCATTTTTGTTCATAACTAATTTTATCTCCATATCCTTTTTATGCTTTAGGACAAGAGAAGGATCTGTAATTTTGTTTTTCATTTAAGCGTTTGAACAGCCTCAGTATCAATGGGGGAGGCAATTGGAACTGATATCAGTGCCATATTGGCTTGCACAAGTTTGGAGAAAAGTTTTTTTTTTTCAAACAATGTACATGTATACTTTTTGTTATGAAAATGGTTTTGATTGTTTGAACTTAATATTTTTTGTGAAAATCACGATCTTTAAAGGTTGCGGATAGAGCGCATGGCCCAGGGTTAAATTGCTATAAACGTTAAAATAAAGTTTTCGGATTAAAATAATTATGTTCTTCATGTAATATAGAGATAACGAACAGTTATCAAGCTCAAAAGTCCATTGAAACAATACAAAGCGAGAGCAGAGCAAACACGGACCTCTAAAAACATCAGAGGTGGCATCAGGTGCCATGGAGGAGTAAGCATCCCCTGTCGACAAGTCACACCTGCAGTGTCCTCCTTGTCATGATCGGGCAAACAGAAAAATCCGTAGACAATTCAGTGTGTATACAATGGCCTAACAATTTGTACGAGAAAAGTCAGTCAGCATTCGACTTAATGATAGATTGTATTTGCTGACAAGGTCATTGTATCGGCCAAGGAACTTGCAAAATGTTGACTTTTGAAGAGACTGTTGATAATCTTGTTTCATCAACTTGTTTGTCAATAGCTTGCCTTGTTTTAGAAATTGTTCGTAGGTAGAGCATGCGCTTGAGTATCGAATCAACTGGGAGACATAAACTCCATATGCCGGTGATAATGGTATATTGCTACATAAATATGTTGATAGAAAAGTTGGAGTCATCATGTTTATCATTAGGTTTTGTTGTTAGGTTACCATTAACGCATTTGCCTAGTAAAATATCCAAATATGAAAAAGATGTCAGACTCTTTGGTGTCTTTTATTTTGAGTTCAAAGGGATATAAAACATTTAAAACAAGTCAAAGCTTGACAAAATTGAAATGTGTCGTAAATATAGCATATTTACATATTTTTATTTTCTGATAAAATTACTATCGATCATTGGACGGACAGTGAAATTATTAAGAAAAAAACGCAAGAAATATGTTTCTGAAATTGCCAGAAAAAGCGCCATCCGAGTGGAACAATGTCCAATAATAAAATTTTATTTTTTAATGTTGAAAAGATGTCAGAGAAAAAATAATTATCCAAATAAATAGAAATCATTGAAATATATTTAGTTCATTGATTTGATTGATTATATGTTGTTTTACGTCCCATTCGAGAATTTTTCACTCATATAGAGACGTCACCATATACCGGTGAAGGGCTTCAAATTTTGACCTTTACTCGGCACTCAGGGCCATTTAGCAGTGAGGGATCTTTATCGTGCCAACGCCTGCCGTGACACGGGGCCTCGGTTTTTAAGGTCTCATCCGAAGGACCCGCAACTTTCACTTCAAAGTGCCGAGGGCATGGCGAAGGAACAGTTGCTTCCTATTTTTATCGAGTCAGGTCAGTCGCGGCCGAGATTCGAACTCATGACCTTCCGATCATGGAGCGAGCGCTCTACCGACTGAGCTATAGTGAACGGTCTTCATTGATTTGAAATTGGTAAATAATTTTACGTGTGTACAATTTAGGAGAGACATTACAAGAAGTGGAACATCCGCGTGGAAAAGTGTCCAATAATAATATCATATTTTGTTAATATTGAACGATATCAGAGACAAAATGATTATTCAAATAAACGGAAATCATTGAAATATTTGACGCTCGTAAAATATATTTTGTTAATTGATTTGAAATTGGAAAAAACGATTTTACAACGGTTTGTACGATTCAGGAGAACTACAAGAAGTGGAAAATCACGATTATATGATAAAAATAGGTATCCCTATTCATCACATTGTTATAAATCTAACGCTGTGTCGTATTGGGTTGTGCAGCCTGTGTGTTTATACTAATTAACGTGTGACGCTCGAAAAGGACTATATGATAAGTGTCTCAAATGGCCCCTTAAAATGAATATCTTAAATTTACTTCAAATATAGGTTTACTCTGAACAGCTATATACCTGACTTTTATTCGTGATTTTCAATTTAATCAAATTACCATTGGTTTAGAAATATGCCATTATGAAGTTCACCTGTTCCCGCCATTTTAGCATACTTTGTATAAAATTATTTTCAAGCAGTATTTCTTTCAGAAAATATGGAGCGTAGACTTCAAAAAACTTTATATTTTTACCAAAGATAGATATATCCAAGACTAATAACTGACAGAAATATTTTGCTTGTTCAAAGCTTCTCTCAATATTTCTTACTGGAAAAAATGTCAAAAAGAGCACATTTTGTCTTGTTTTGATTGTATGGCAAACATAGCACCATTTCTGACGTTATTTACAGTTCCTAAGTGTAAATAAATGAGACAAATGTAATGAAAAATAAAAAAAACCCATCTGAATCACATTTAAAAATGTTGAATCATGGGAGCCAAAATTGATTCTTATCATAAATAGTCCTTTTCGTGTATTGCTTTGAATTTTAAGAATTTATTCAGTTATGGTTTATCTATGAATACTGTACTCACTTGACAGTATGACATAGTAAAGAAATAGCATGTGTCCGCAAACATGTGATAAAAAAGTCAAAATCCATATCTTGAAACTAGCATTATGTCAGACGGGCGGATTACATATATAAAGTATTAACATCTATAGCGTACGTCATATTGTGTGTATTGTTAAAATTTTCAAACATTGACTAAATCATGGTCTATAATAAAAGATTATTGTACACGTTTCACAGTGTGGTCATTATTAAGAAAATAATAGCATTTGCTTTGAATTTTATAGACAACCCTCGTACAAGTCATGTGTTTTGCATGCTCAACTTTTGTTATTTTTTTCTTGTCCTTTATTGTTATATTTTCTTATCTGTTCATGTGATAGTCGGTTAAAGAGCTCTACAGGGCTTTCATTATTTGTTATAATATACACAGTACCGGCCTGAATCAAATTTTCTTTTACTTTACGTTGGAAACAAATCGCCGTTTTCTTTACAGCGGGTCATTCAACATTGAAAGAGTCATACAATGTATTCTGGACAAAATTGTATACGAAAATTCTCTGGATTTTTAATTACAGACTACTTTTTAGCTATAAAAGAGTTTACTGTGTTCTATCTCACATTGAAGACAGAAAAAATTATAAAATTCCTTACCCCGTGCCGTATCCTCCTCCCCGACCAAACATCCTTCTTTTGTGGTGAGACCTCTTTGACCAGGGTCCCAAGAAAGCCTGGGGACAAGAACTCGGACACATACCCTGTCTTTAAGAGAAGGTAGAATCAGTAAACAAGAGAAAATTCATTCTGTATCCCAGCTGCTGGCTATCAGAAATATTGGAAGCAATTTTTCGATGGTTTTCGCGTATTGATCACAACTATTAAATACATTGTTTAAACTTTACGGTTTTAAACATCATAATTATACACAATTTACTTATGTACTGTAATAGAATTACATTTCGCTATATATTTTATTTAGCGTCTTTTGAGAAAAGCAGTTTCTGCTAAGTCAAGTATGTTCTTAAATGTCTTGTTTCTATATCTTCATATGATGCTTACTGCTTCTAGACACCTTATCCCACCTCTGTAATTTTTAGGGGTCCGTGTTTTATGAATTGCTCACAAATCAATATTGTATATAGATTTTTTAAATAGATCACTTGTCGTTATCTTCCTCTCAAAACTTAAGAGGTAGGATCAGGTACTATAGAGGAATAAGCTCCTTGATCGGGAAAATGGAAAAACAATTTATGTGAAAATAACGGTCCCGAACAAAAAAGTACTATATTTAACGATAGTTTACTATAGTTAACTATAGTTTACTATAGTATCAAAGTTTTTTTCACCATAAAAAATCCAAGTATTTTTTTCTATGGATTTCAGATCGTTATATTTTTTTGTTCTTCAATTCATACATGCACATTTTCTATATTAAATTGAAATATAATTTGTATATTCATATATTATTGCCAAATTTTACATGACTGATAACGAATTTAATAAGGGATTTTAAGCTTTGAAATCTCAAAAAAAAAATTCCAGAGTAAAGTTTCATAGTAAATCAAAGTATCAAAGTTTTCACTATAGTTAACTATAGTAAAATATAGTTAACTATAGTTAACTATAGTTAACTATAGTAAATTTTTGTTAGGGATATAGCAATTTGTATGAAAAACGCCAGTCAACATTCGATTTAATGATAGATTGTTTTTGTTGACAAAGTCTTTGCGTCGAACATAGAATTTGCGAAATGTTGACTTTAAACGAGACTGTGGATATCCTTGTTTCATCAACCTGTTTGTCAATAGCATGCCTCGTTTCAGAATTGTTCGCACGTAGAGCATGATCTTAAGTATCGAATCAACTGGGGGACATATAAACTCCATATGCATGTAACAAGGGTATATTGCAACATAAATAAGTGTAGCTGGCGATAGAAAAGTTGAAGTAATGAAGTTTATCATAATTTTGTTATTAGGTTACCATTAACGTCTTTTTCTGGTAAAATATCCAAATATGAAACATATGTGTCAGACTCTGTGGTATCTTTTATTTCGAGTTCAAAAGGTTATATATCGAATTAACGTAGGAATGAAAATTTAAACCGGTATTGTTCATAGACAAAACGTCGCCGATATATCTAAGTGTTGAATTGAAGGCCACAGCAATTCTTTTTGCGTATAAACGTTTTTAAATAAATTCTGCTTCATATGAATACAAAAATAGGTCTGCTAATAACGGGGCACAATTGATACCCATGAAAATTCCGACAGATTGTTAGAAGACTTGATCTCCAAAAACTACCAAAAAAAAATTGTCGATCAGAAACTCAAGCATCTTATAATATCAACTTCGTAGTACATGTGTGTACAATTAGAACGTTTTTCTTTTTTAATAATTTTGCATATGACCAATGACAACGTATGTAAATTTATCATTTCCATTTTAATTGAAAAAAGCAGCTGTCTCTGATATCAAAAAGCCTCGACTTTAATTATTGTGGGAAATGTTTGTATAAAGTGTTGAAAAGTCGTACATGTACGTTTGATGTTACTGATTTTAGTAAAGTTTTGTGATTTGATGATGTCAGAATGTTTGAGAACGTCTTTAGATTATAATGCCCCCAAAGTATCCGGAAAGAAGTTGTTCTATTAAGCAATTAATCTGATATTGGAAACCTTACAGAAGAAGGTTTAATTCATTAGCAAAGAAATTTTGACTGAATCATATTTATGCACCTTCGGGGTGTCGTCTGTGTTGCTAATTCACTGGTCTAATTCCAGTGTATCGTTGTCCTAAAATAAATCGGTTAACTAACCCCGGTCACTTTACCAGGTCTACCTACAATTAACACATCCCCAACAGAATACGCACAATAGAGAGTGATAAGAATACCTCTCTCTTGCAGGTCTTCATTTTTCCATCTAATCATTTCGTACCTGATTTGTGGGGAAAAAAAATTCTTAGCAAAGCGACATTGTTCATTTGTTGTGTAATGTCAAGCTTTCATTGTCATTGTGTAGCACACTACAATATTCTCGAATTACTGAATGCCATTGTGTATGTGAGATAATGATTATTAAAATGAGCGATATACTTATATTTATTATGTAATTCATGCGCTATAAAGAAATAATTAGCTTTTTTTTCACCTTTGATGAAATATGGAGATAACGAGCAGTATTCAAACTCAAAGTTAATTAAAGCAATACGAATCGGGAGCAGAGCAAACACGGACACCAAAAACATCAGAGGTGGGATCAGGTGCCATGGAGGAGTGAGCATCCCCTCCAACCGGTCACAACCGCAGTGTGCTCCTTGTCATGATCGGGAAAATAACGGTAAAAACCGGCTATATGGAGAAACGGTGTTCATTCTGCTGATTTGCATATCGACCATTTTCACCTTTAATGAAATATGGAGATAACGAACATTATTTAAACTCAAGGTCAATTAAAGCAATACAAATCGGGAGCAGAGCAAACACGGACTCCAAAAACATCAGAGGTGGGATCAGGTTCCATGGAGGAGTGAGCATCCCCTCCAACCGGTCACATCCGCAGTGTGCTCCTTGTCATGATCGGGAAAATAACGGTGAAAACCGGCCATATGGAGAAATGGTGTTCATTCTGCTGATTTGCATATCGGCCATTATGGAACTATAATGGCGGCCGAATTTATCAAGGTTTATATAGAGAAAATACAAAAAATCGAGAATTTTTATATCCTTACTATTTCGGATAAAGTTCTTCCGCCGATGGTTTGATTCTTCTTAATATCTTCTACCGGAAATGACAAGATTGTTGATACCAACGTGAAAGTTGCGACCGCCTTTTTTATTTGAAAATTCGAAGCGAGAGTATATTGTTTTAATGAAGGAAAGAGCAGAGAATTGGTGTTTTTATCATTTTTTATGAGGAAATGTAAGTATTTATTACAAGTTGACAGAGTTCTTTCGCCAATTAAGAGGTGCATGAGAGAGCCTATTTTTATAAAATACATATGTTTTACCATTCCATTAGGAGTTACGACCGCGTTTTTAATTTGAAAACGGCAATTTTTTGCATCAGTGTGACCTACTTTATATCGGGAAAACGATGTCCCGAGTCGTCAGCTGTTATTCACACAAATTTCTACTCATATAACTATGACAGAGCCTTGAAGAAAAAACAAAACGAAACAGGCTTGCAGGTTTTAACATAAAAATCTAAAGAAATGGAATTTCGAGTTTATTCAGTATCTTATGAATATTTATGAGAAGTAAATCACGGGGAAGCAATCTCATGAATAAATTGCACACAATTTCTCCATATGGCGACAATTCAGTGTGTATATAATGGCCTAATAATTACTTTGAAAAACGTCAGTCAGCATATGACTTATTGGTAGATTGTATTTGCTGACAAGGTCATTATATCGACCATAGAACTTGCGAAATGATGACTTTAAACGAGACTGTTGATATTCTTGTTACATCAACTTGTTTGTCAATAACTTGCCTCGTTATATAAATTGTTCATACGTAGAGCATGCTCTTGCGTATCGAATTAACTGAGACATATACATTCCATATGCAGATGATAAGGAGATATTGCTGCATAAGTAAGGAAAACTGACGATTGAAAAGTTAAAGTCACTGCGTTTATCATAAAGCTTGGTTTTTAGATTACCATTAACGTCTTTTTCTAGTAAAATATCCAAATATGAAACAGATGTGTCAAACTATGTGGTATCTTTTATTACAACTCACTTGGATATATCGTGTCGATATATGAATGGAAATAATTATTGTTAATTAATAGTACGTCTATGTCAATATATCTAAATGAAATAAAATTTAAGGATCTACATTAATAAGATTGATAAAGAGACAATATACATACGATGGTGTTATGTTTGTACCAACACTGCTTGGAATCAAGTCAAAGGCATTTGAAAGAATTTAACAGATTATTCATTTTAAGGAAAATAAAAGCACATAACCGTGTATCTTGATTAGCCTGCATCTGCATTAAGTTATATCAATATCGGACCAAATATATGAAAGAAGCAGCTTTTCGAAAATGAAATAAAATGAATAAATAAAAAAATAAAGGCAAACAGATAAAATTAATGGATGGATTTTTTTTACCATTCTTTACCGTTGTAAACATTATAAGTTCTAATTACAGCTGAGATTTGGCTCGACTAGATATGTGGACTGATGCCTTCATCGACTCTCGGTACGATTCTTCATAAAATATATATTCAACTTTGGCACTTCTAGCTATTAATCACACTGATGTTTGCTACAGATATCTGGACTAATCAATTTAATCTCTATCCTTGTTAATGCTGCATTGCTTACCGTGTAAGTATGTAAACCCCAAAATGAAAACAAGCACAAACTTTTTGATTTTGTTTTTTACAATTATTCTACAATAGTTTTTTCCCACACCCATTGAAATCAATAATGACAAAATTCTTGAAAAACAATCAAATATGAATTCTTCAATACCTGTATATAAACAATCATGAGCGCCATCATCTGCCTCTTTACTTTTTGAGGATTTAAATACTTACGCGGTAAGCAACAGTATTCATTGTAAATATTGACAGAGTGTTGTTAAAAAGAAAAGAAAATGAATTAGACTTACTGACATAAGTTTAAGCAGGCTTCAAGAAGCTGAGCATTTTGAGAGGCGAGATCAGTGGCGGGACTGGCTATTACGTCCTCCTCCCCTGTTATAGTACGGACAAAACAGGTACACATTACTGTCCACAGAAAAGCTATGACGATGGAGGGCATTATTTTTTCTGTAAGAAGATGACAATATGTTGTAAAGAATTATATACAGAATGATTTAATATTCTCCAATACAACCCATAGGGAAATATAAAGCATTCGCCTGCCAATTTTTGAACGGCAAACTTTTACATAAGCCTACTTATTCCTGCTATTATAACCATTATAGATGTTTGTCTAGATATTGAATAGCTGTAGACATCACTCATACCTCCTTACAAGGACTGTCTGAACGACATAAACCACACTCCTTCCTCCTCACTTAGATTGCCACAATGAAATAAACCGCCTCAATAGGATTGCCACAATGAAATAAACCGCATCACTAGGATTGCCACAATAAAATAAACCGCCTCGATAAGATTGCCACATTAAAATAAACCGCCGCTCACTAAGATTGCCACAATGAAATAAACCGCCTCACTAAGATTGCCACAATGAAATAAACCCCGCTCAATAGGATTGCCACAATGAAATAAACCGCCTCACTAGGATTGCCACAATGAAATAAACCGCCTCAATAAGATTGCCACAATTAATTAAACCGCCTCACTAAGATTACCACAATTAAATAAACCGCCTCGCTAGGATTGCCACAATGAAATAAACCGCCTCAATAAGATTGCCACAATTAAATAAACCGCCTCACTAAGATTGCCACAATGAAATAAACCGCCTCACTAGGATTGCCACAATGAAATAAACCGCCTCAATAAGATTGCCACAATTAAATAAACCGCCTCACTAAGATTGCCACAATTAAATAAACCGCCTCACTAGGATTGCCACAATGAAATAAACCGCCTCAATAAGATTGCCACAATTAAATAAACCGCCTCACTAAGATTGCCACAATTAAATAAACTGGCTCCCTCACATTGCCACAATTAAATAAACCGCCTCACTAGGATTGCCACAATGACCCCTGGGTCGAGGCTTCTGCTTGTGGACTATTAGTCCCCGAGGGTCTCTCAGCCCAGTTACCTAGTACTCCGGTATTAGCTTGAAAATACGGGATATATATTTAATTGCTGTGGTAAAAATTAGAAATTTATTTCAAAATTAAAGGATTATATCGCTCATGCATAGCTGTGATCCTTCGACGTAATTGGCTCCAGTCTTTGGCACTTTTTTTCAGCTCTTCCAAGTCTTTTTTATTTAAATATTTTGGATTTTCAACGTTTCGGCTTGAGCATCACTTTAGAGACATAATTTGTCGAAATGCGCATCTGGTGCATCAAAATTGGTACCGTATATGATTTACATAAACCTCCTCACTAGGATTGCCACAAGGAAATAAACCGCCTCACTAAGATTGCCACAATGAAATAAACCCCACTTATTGCTCACTAGGAATTCCTGAATTACATAAAATATATTCATTCCTCCTCACTAGGATAACCCCCACTCATTTCTATTCTAAGATTGCCCATTCATTCCGCGTCACAAGGATTGCCAGAATGACATAAATCCCACTCATTTCTCAAGTACATGTAGTCATGTCACAAAGAAATAAGCCCAACTCCCCTCCTACAAAGGTTTGATTTACTGAAACAGATTGCCTTCACTTTCCTTTTGGAGGATTGCTTAATCTGAGGCACGCCCAATTAAATTCTCCTGACAAGAATTGCATGAAATAGAAAGAAGTCGTTCCTTCTCAGGAACATTGCTTTCATGTAATACACCTCCTTATACAACAACAAGTGTTCACTGCGGGGCTTGAACCAGCGACCTTTGGATTAGTGGCCAAACGCCTATGACCACTTCAAGCTATGTGCTCCACAGATATGGTACATGGGGTGAGGCTTATATATGGACTTGATTATTATTTTTCAGTAAGTCGCAGAATTTTAATATAAAGATCTGAATATTAAAAGGATCACTCGGGTAAATTTAAAATTAAATCAGACAATATATAAAGCGCATTTCACACCTTTTGTTCTATATATACATGTCGTACATATGATACCTTTTTATGAAATAACTGCAACAGAAACACACTAACATTGATTATATGATATTTTTAAAGCAAAGGATTACTTGTTTTGGAAAAAAGACAACCATAGTCAGGTGAACAAAAGAAAGGTTCCTGGGAATTTTGTTTTCGTGTATTGGCTTAAATTACATGCATGTAAATTTTACACGTAAACAGGCTATATCTATTCAGAAAAGCTATCTAGTAATTTATATTAGCAGTGATTTAATTAAAAAAAAATAATAAAATATTATTGTCCAATTTGTGTATGAATTCAGAAATGTTTCAGAAATCGGCGTGGGGGGGGGGGGGGGGGGGGGACTTCGGGCATTAAAGGAATTCCTAGATAAAGAATCATTAGCATTGTCAATCACTTACTGAAACTTTGTAACAAAGGCCAAAAATCTTCAACAACGCCATTTATGATATCTTTGTTAATTCTTTGATAAAGGAAAAAAAATTGCGTGCTTAGCGAAGTAAAAATAGCTAAATCTAGATACATTCGTATATGAATGTACAAGTATCAAATGCAACTGGGATAATTTTCTAAAATCACACATCAATTTTCTATATTGGTGTTTGGTTAATGAGAATACTTAATGATATCATAGGTTCCTTTTTCCTGTAAGTATCCCTTCAAGGTGAAATCTAAAATGATGATGTGTTAAAGATACTCCACTTACATTGATTTTGTACAATAATTAGCCTACAAAACAACACTTTTACTGACTTGAGAAGGAATGACAGATCCTCTAGACTTATCGTCCGAAGGCTTCGATATTGTACTTTTTAAAGTATAATTTTACTAATTTAATGTTTACTGTAACATAAAACTGTAATATAGTATACCCTTATTTAAGAAACAACAAAGGCACAATTATTAGAAAAAAAGATCTGTGACTAATTTGTCAACGGAAGTTACACTCAAATGTTAATGTTTGTAATGCGAAAGACATGACCATTTGTAATGACTTATAAGTCAGAAAAACATAAATCTGCTGGTTTCTTTCACAAGACAAGCAGATCATATAAAGTTGATTAAGATTAAGATTAAAATAAAATTATACCATGCCATCAGAACTCTCCTCTCTCCGAACAGATAATTTGTCAACAAATGTTTTTTTAACAAATCAATTAATTGCTAATTATTTTTTTTTAATTTAAAATAAAGTTTTATGCATTACAGTTCTTAAAAAAAGGTAAGAGGAAACAGCACAATCAAACATCTTTCTTTTACATTATTTTATGTTTTATAAAAAGAAATACATGTACTATATAAGTAAAACAAAAAAAAAAAGAGCATTGACTTGGATACACAGACTCCATATTTATACCCAAGTAACTTGGATTCTTCTTTTGCCAGATATAATATATTTTAGATTGAATATACTGAAAAGCAGTAAATTCGGCTCGGTATAATTGACCTAAATCAAAATTTGTTTGACTTTCAATCAAACCTCTCCATTCGTCGGTAAGGTCTGAGAAGTTGAGAATAGATTGTTATATAAGGATCGGCATTTTATAGATGAAATTCCAGTCGCCTTTTTTTTCTTTTTTTTTTTTTTTTACTTTTTAGTGAAATTATTCAACCTTCCGAAAAATTTACTCGTGTTCTTTACCAATCATTAAAATTATAACCTTTAAATTGTACTATTGTAACTATTGCACCACTTTTTGGGGGGAGGGGTGGTACATTTTTTAGGAGTCAGTTTTTTTCCAAGTGGGTTGAAACTGACCCACCTCCATATCTTGCCTCGGCATAAAGGCAATAAAACCATACTGCGCAGTAGTATTCTGTCATATTGTAAATTTTATATTTAATGGGTGGCAGTAAATACAAAACTTACAAGTTGTCATGTTGTAAATTTTATATTTACCGCCACCCGGTATATTAAAAATTCTCTGTAAAGACCTGTAGGATAAACATTTTCAAATAAAACGACTGACATGTTTGTGATTGCATGTATAAATAACTGTATAAAATAGCATTAACAGTCACGGTACATATAATTTATCCTCGACGCTGGTTGACATCCGTCTGTGTGACACGTTAAACAATTCGTCTGAGCAGTTTTCAGTTTCCGGATCAAGAACTTTGTTACCGACGTACTACTTATCATTAATTCAAGCCCTTGTCAGCTTGTAACAGGAATCTTAGCACTGACGTCTCGTAGGAAGACGTCATATACAAGTACAATGTGCACCCATGATAAAAGATACACAGAAGATGTGCATTCTATTGCCCAGTTGAAACACATAAATTACAAAGTGGTACAGAAAAAATCTCTCTGCCTGCTGCTCTCAACACAAATGCAGATTCTGTCCAACTCCCGCAATATTCAAGTAAAGGTAAATCTAATATTTGAAAAGCTTATCTCGATTTTAAAAATTTCAAAAACAGCTGACATAAAGCTAATATTGTCATATTCTCTTACGTGCAGACAAACAGTGCAACGTGAATAAAGAAACCCTTTTTCACAATTTAGGCTTCTTTTGTGGTTTGTCCTAATTTGAACTGAAACAATGGCTTGAATACACACAGGAGTATCCGAATGACCACTAGAGATAAGACTGCATAAACAATGGGATGTGCCGTAAAAACAAGAGGATTAATCCCACTAATAATACAGAAACAAGACAAAAATCAGAAAATATTTAATTACAGATTTACAAAACAAGAAAAAGGTCTTTAACTTACTTGAGTATGTTTTCAGTGAGATTTCTCAGTCCTGTAGTCCTACAGCAAGGAATCGATCGAGCTAAATGGTTTGACACTAATATGATACAACTGTTTAATTAAACAGCCCAAATTTGATTACATTAATCGTATTAATCATTAATAAACCATTTCATGAGGTACCAAAAGAAATAATTCTTTTGATTTTTGTTTTCATTAACGTCCCTGTAGTCAGCTACACATTCAATAATAGTTGTATAAAAGAAACCCAGCTTTTTTATCACGGCTTCTGCGCTGTCGAGTTTTACACTGCTCGCGTATTAATTCTTAATAACCAATCAGACAACACATAGATCTACTCCCATCAGCGTGCGAACGCGCGGACTGCCACATTAAAAATAATAGGACTTCGATCTCTATATAATTAATTATCTGTGAAGGTTTTACAGGTTTATCAAATCAACATTAAAGTTTCTATCAAACTGTTGAGATTAATACTAAATATTTGTCTGTGTGCCCTCACGCACTCTGTCTAAATAATGATTAGACTATCACGTTCTTTTCTTCCAAGGTACACCGATGACGTCACTACATGACCCCGTATTTGCTTTCTTTGGATACAGGAAATCAAACACAAAATGCTTTACTCCAATCGGAAGTGGAAAAGTCCGCTGTTTTAGTGCCCGAAATTATCTATGGCTGGTTTGAAATGAAAATTTGCCAAAGTACATGCTGCTTACGAATAAAAAAGAACACGATTGTGTCAAGAAATGAAGTTGTTGTCTTGAAGCTCTTCGGGTCCGGAAATTCCCTGTCAAGAAATATAAACTCCCCTGCGTTTTACATTGATACATATTAATTTTTTGATAAAAGGACTATTTCTGCGTAATGTATTTGAAAGTCCGAAAAATGGTCCAAGGGGTGATGAAGAAAACGAAGTGTGAAAGTGACAAAACCGTTTCTGAAATGTGTCATAACTGTTTTCGGTCTCATAATCAGAAAAAATTATTTGTAGTCTGGTTTTACGAATAACAAATAACAATGAACATAGGTTCCGTAGAGCTTTTGCATGACATAATTGCTTGTTTGATAACAGATTCAGCATTCTTCTGGGCATAGTCATATTACTACAATTCTGACATAAGAGGATACATTATGAAATGAAATATTATAATTATTATATAGATATTCATAGACCTTATATAATCTATACCAACGCAAACGGCTCATACACTACATATTCACTAGATTTGAAGGGTCAGTGTGAGTGCAGCGGCGATCAAGACGTCACAAACGTTGCAACGCCGAAGCCAACTGTGTGTCTGAATAAGGAAAACGTTAGGCAAACGTATCGCCGGCTTTTATCCAAATTTTCGACGGGAAATGATATCTTACATACTACAAAAGAAAAACATGGGCATTATAACTTTAAACCTGGACAATTTTAAATCTTTTTGAGATAGAATTTCGTCTATGAAAATAGTGTCGTCGTGTAGTCTTCAATGTTTTATTTATTCGATACGTATCGATATTATTTGTCTGTATAATTAAACAATTAAAGACTCTTTTGGTGGTAAACATGGCTCGATATGCTTCGCCTCGGTCAATATTGATATTTTTCTGGTGAATATAAGACCACATTCACTACCCAAGTCCATAATTGTATAATATCCAATGTCATACGTTATGAAAGACTTGGGTCAAAGTTGAATTTTTAGATAGGTCGGAAATTAATTCAAGGACCCACTTTTACATTCTGAAAGGTCTACCAGTAACAAAACATATGCTTATAATTGAAAAAATAAACAAATTTAAAAAAAAAAAAAAAGGAAAAAACTGTCAATCGGACAGCAGATTTTCTTTTGTGAGAACAGAACTGGTATTTCTGACATAAATAAACTTTCAATTCTAAAAACTACAGAAGGTGACTTTCTGACAATATTACTCTGTTATATGAATGAATTTTGCATAGAAGTGCCTAAAGTCAATTATAGGTATTTTCTGCATAAATAATAAAAAATTAAATTTTAGTATTATGCCTATCTTTGAAAAATGCATAATTGAACCTAAAAATAAAAACTTCCGTCCTAAAAATTGTAGGTTATCCGGACAAATAACGAATTCTTTAAACAATTTTTATCATAAAAATGACTAAGTTCAACAACTGGGATTTTTTTCATATATTATCAAAAATCAAAATCCAGGTACCATGCAAATCTCTGATATATGTATAATAGATTTGTATAATAAAAACTTTCTACATGTATCTTGAAAACTATAAGAGGAAAAATGTAATGTGAAGATAACGAATACTGATCATTCTCAAAAGTCCATTTAAACAAAACAAATACACAAATTATTAGCAGAGCTAACATGGGTCTCTGAAAACAGAGGTGGGATTAGGTGCCATGGAGAAGAAAGCATCCGCGTGCTCATTGTCATGATCGGGTAAAAGGAAAATCCGTAGTCAATGCAGTATGAAAATAACTTTATATGAAAGACTTCAGTCAATTTTCAATTAACCACGAATTATATTTGCAAAGATGGTAAATGCATCGACCATAGAATGTGCAAATTGTTGACGACTTTGAATAAAATTGTTGATATCCTTGTATCATCAACTTGCCTGGCAAAAGCCTGCTTCATTTTAGAAATGGTTCGTTGAAGTAATCACGTTTATCATAAAGTTAGATTAAATTCTAGTAAAACATCCATAGCTGAAAGAGACGTGCCATACTGTGAAGTGTCTTTTATTTCCATTCCAGTGGAATTCATCGAATTAACGTAGGATTGAAACTGAATATTGTTAATTAGTAAAACGTCTTCGATTTATCTGAATGTTGAATTGAAGGCCACAGGGAGAAACTTTATCTTTTCGTATAAACATATTTGAAGAAATTCTGCTTTCCAAGAATATAAAAGCAGGTCTACTAATAACGGGGCACAATTAGAACCTGTGGAAATTCCATCAGAAAGTTGGAAGACCTGTGGTCTCCGAAAACTACATAGATAATGTCAATGAGAAACTCAAGCTTCTTTGGTATATCAAATCTCAGAATACTTGTGTGTACAATCAGAATGTTTTCTAACAAAATAAGTTTGCAGGTGACCAATGATATGGTATGCAAGTTCCATTTCTTGAAGAAGCAGTTGTCTATGATATGAAAAAAGGCTGGTCTTTAATTTTTCGTGGGTAATGGTTATACAAGGTTTTTCACAATATATGATACACATCTAAAGGACAGAAAGAAAAATTACAGCAAAAGCTACATACGCATTTTATGTATCATTTTAATCAGCAGATATTCAACATTATTATTTTATGTCAGAAGTATCCAACGAATCAACTGAAATATAAACCCAGAATGCAGGAGATAAGGGTGTATTGCTGCATAAGTAAGGGATGTTGACGATTGAAAAGTATATATAAAACTTTCAACGGAACAGAGTAAAATTTGATGTGGATGTGATGCAGACCTTACTGTCTATTGATCTAAGAAGAAACGATTCAAAAGAGACATGTGTATATTAGTTTATGTAAGACAGATGTCCATGACTATGTATATTAGTTTATGTAAGACAGATGTCCATGACTACACTTACGTGAGTTTTGTTAAAAATCCCCATCACACTCACGATGCAACACAAATAGAAAAGCATTGCTTTTTTCCTAATTTTGAAGTTTTCCGAATTTTCCTAGTTTTGAAGTTCAGCCACTATAAGATAGTTGAGTCTTCGACACTATAAGATAGTTTAAGTTTTGACACTATAAGAGTTGAGTCTTAAACAATATAAGAGAATTGAGGCTTAGACTCTAAGATAGTTGAGGTTCGATTATTTCAGGATAGTTGAGTCTTATACACTATAAAATCTGAGTTTACACACTTAAAGATATTTAAGGTCTAGTCATTATAAGATAAGTTAGTTGAGGTCTAGTCACTTTAAGTGGTTGCGGTTTACGCTCAGAGATAGTTGTAGTTGTGTCTTAGTCATTAAAAAAGTTGTTGAGGGGAAAAAGTTGAAGTGATCAATCTCATAAATCCTATAAACAATAGAAATCGAAAAACGTGCAAAAACATTAGAGGCGGGATCCGGTGCCCAGGAGTAGTAAGCATCCCTTGTCAACCAGTCACCATTGCCGTGAGTCCTCCGTATTGATCAGGTAAACGGAGAATCTGAAGTCAGAATTGAAAAAAATGACAATTGATATAATACATGTCAGTCAAAGTTCGACCTGAAGCAAATACACATAATTATACATAGTCTTTTGAAAGACAATATTTTGAAAAAACAAGAACATATATTTAGAACTAATTATTGCTAAAACTCGGCTTTAGAACACTTAAATATTCATATAATACATTAAAAAAAATAAATGTTTGTATGTTATAGCGACATATACATGTAACGACCTCATGAGTGGTTGTTAATTATTAACAGCGATGACTGCTACAAGAGCGGATTCAGAAAGGGCGCACCCACATCTGAGAGAGAGAGAGTCGATGTTCCTCAGTTGGGGACAGAAAAATTAATCTTTCGAAATACAATTTTTCTCGAAATTGTTCGTAAATAGTTAAATCACACAAAGCCAATGTTATTTGCTTGCTGACATTCACTGATCTATCGGGGAAAAAACAAGTTTTATCTTTTGTTTTGTATTTCTTAAATACATGTACGAGCTTTAATTTCAAAAGAAGCGAGAGTTCAGTTTTCGTGCCATGTGGAATATAAAGATAAAGAATAGTAATCAAGCTCAAAAGTCAATGACAATGACAAAGCCAGTGAACATTTGTCAAAACAAAAAAGTACAACAATATGTAAACTGAAAACATTGGAGTGGTCAATGGCCTCGAGTGATAAACAAAAATCAAATATATATTTACAGCGAACCCTTGTCACTATTCGTGTCTGCTATATATTTTTTTTTTCAATATTAAGATAAAAATGTTTGAAGAGCATTATAGTAAAGTACCTATAATCGGAAAGGAAGTCGACTTTAATTTAATATTTTTAAACATAATTAACAGTGATTTATTGGTATTTTTCTCCAAAAACAAATACATTTATAAGTATATGTAAATATATTGAAATATTATTGCAATCTAATATAGGTTTTGTGAACATAAGTTTGATTAAGTAAGACCTCGCTTAGTTCGTTTTGTTACGACATAAGACATACTTCATACTTACGTGGTACTTAAGCAGGTCCTAAGACTGCACCTAAATCATACTTATAACTCTACTTAAATCAGGCAGAACTTAGGAGGCTTTCTGTTACGAGCCCCAGTTGTTTATGATTCAAAAAACCTGATTATTATCGCAAGGAATCGTTGTATAAAGGGTTGAAAAGGCATACGTTTCGATGCTGTCGATTTTGGAAAAAAAAAATGTTATTATTATTTTTGTTTAAAGTTCTTTGGGTTTTTTTTTTTAGAATTTATATCTGATTAATACCTTTTCTTTGCTGTAATCAGGTAATATAGTAAGTTTTAAATTTCGCCTTAACAGTGACTGCAGCCCGGAGGACCGGGCTGCTCTATACATGTAAGCTTAAGTTTTGGTGTATGGGATTGAGGCGGGAGAAGTTATTCAGAATTAAAGGTTAACTATACATTAAAAAGATTATAGACCAGAATGTTCTTTCCTTTTATAAATTATGAGATACACAATATATTTACTTCCATGAAGTACATCTTTAAAAATATACAAAGTTGCTTATCATTTACTATCGACAAAATGACAGGTCCCTTTTTTTAGAACAGTAAATTTTACTTGTCGCATAAAAACGTACGTCACACTGTTTTTTGTTTTATATTAATTAAGTCAAATATATTTCTGATTATAGGTGATACATGTGTCTGATTCTAATTTATATTTTATGCAGCCAACAGTAACTTGACGAAATGATAAAGTTTAAAACAGTATCTTTTTTGTTCGATTTTCATCCGATTAGAAGCTTTCCGTAAATCTTCTCGACTATAGTCTCGATCATTCAGACGTATGCCTTTATCACACAAATCGAAGCGGTTTGATGATCAAGATTTTAATTCATTTATTTCCCGGGCGACAATTGATGGCAACATCACTGTTTTCTTGTCAATATATTGTGATAACAAATAGGGCTTAATAGAACGTTTACTGGATCCCAGTGCTATTATTCAATATAATAGTGCTAAGGCTTAAGCACAATGTGATAGTTGAAGATTGGTAAATATCAGTTAATTAAGGCTTGAACGTCATATGATATTAAAGGATTAGTCGCCATAAGATAAGCAAAGGCTAACACACTTAAGATAGATAAAAATCACTATAAAACACATGTGGTTCAGTCTTCGACCCTGTAAGATACTTAGACCCAATAAAAAGGTTCAGGTTGAGGAGACATTATACAATAGTTGAGGACAAATCATCATAATACAGTTGAGGCTAGGTCAATATAGGATAACTAAGGCTTGGTCACTATGAGGAATTTTGAATTAAATCATTTTTCGATGTAGGTGATAGTCACTATAGAGAATTTGTCGCTATAAGGTAGTTTATAGGTTAAGTCACTGTATAGACTTAGTCACCATGGGATTGCTGAGACTTAGTCAATGTAAGATATTTAGTTTGACACTATAGAGACTTAGTCATTTCTGGATAACTGAGGCTTAGAGTAGTTTAAGTTACTAGAGGGACATAAATATGTCACTATAAGATAGTTTAGGTTCAGTCACTATAGAGATTTGGTCACTATGAGATAGCTTGGGCTTAGTCACTATAAGAGAGTTAAGGTTAAGTTACTATAGAGATTTGGTCACTATGGAATAGCTGAGACATAGTCACTATAAGAGAGTTAAGGTTAAGTTACTATAGAGATTTGGTCACTATGGAATAGCTGAGACCTAGTCATAAGAGAGTTAAGGTTAAGTTACTATAGAGAGTTGGTCACTATAGGATAGCTGAGACTTAGTCACTATAAGATTAGGTTAAGATACTATAATGACTTAATAGTGGCTAGCTAAGGCTTTTTTGCGTAGTTATCTATGTCAGACAACACCCCTTACTATGATAATTGACAATTTAGATTTTAATCAAACATCATCTTATGGTATATCCCTTACTAATTATAATGTGTTTATAGGATTGTTTACTTGAGGACTGTATTTATAGATCAAAAACATTTGCGATGGTTATAAATATCAAAGCACTTTTTTTATTCATCATGCAACATACAAAAATGGAAAAAAAAAATAAAAAGGAATTAAAAATTGACATAGGAAACAACGAAGAATAACAGTCTAGTATCGTAGCCAGGGTAACCATTGAGAGCAGTATTCTCCGGGACTCAGTCACGCTTTTTCTGATAAGTGACGTGGAAAGCAAGGTGTTCCTCTATGACGCGAGGATCTACGGCGGAACTGAACGCAATACCACACGTCTCGCACTTTCTCTCTGGTTTCCGCGATTTCCGGGACGTGATATCTTGATTAGGTGGGGAGCGCATCAAGGAAGTTAAGACGCGGTTCTTTGGTTCCTTTTCTTGAAGTGGACCTGTCTGTAATAGGAATTAAAGATTCTGTCAAAACAATTATGATGTAAAAAAAATATGTAGAGTTTCCAGGGATCATCACAAGTATTATTTAAGAAATGAATTTCATTTTTGAAAATTCATGAGGACATGAACTACGACGCTTCACGCCGGCATATTTCATGAAACGCGTTAGCGCTTCATGATAAATATGCTGGCGTGAAGCGTTGTAGTTCATGTACCTCATGAATTTTCAGAAATTAAATTCATTTCTTATATTTACATTATTTTTCTGATGATTTGCCACAAATAACACCATTCAACTCATTTTTAAAGCAAAACAGTTTGCACTATAGTTTTGAGGTCAAGCAAGGTATTATGACGTAACAATGGAGATATTCATGCTCATTCATGGTAGTTCATGAGAAAATGAACTGTATTCCATTTTGTAAAGAATCATAGGGGAAATTTATTGGAAATGTAAATAAATATAAATATATATATATATATATATATATATATATATATATATATATATATATATATATATATATATATATATATATATGTCACATCACATCAAGACGTACATTTTATCTGAGAAGAATACAAACATACAAACAACCCAGCACTGCCAAGATCAGTAAGGAATACTATTTGATTCCCTACTACAGGGTCACGGTACTGATAGAAATAGAAAGTCTTGTGGACCTTTTGGCATAAAAATTATCTAGTTCTGGTTCATAAACGTGTACTGGTAAAACATGTATAACGAGCAATTAAATTCTGATCCCCTCAGTGCAATATAAAAAACCAATAACGACCTCATAAACAATGGATTATATTAAATGCCACTCACTGTCAGTTTGCGTGCAAATTGGCGCCATTCATTAGTGAAACATTTGGCGCGGTCCTTCAGCAATGAGCGAATTCTCTGGGTGACCTCCACTAATTTTGTGTCCGTTTCCTCTTTCATCTGTGTAACCACCTATGACGGAGGAGAAAGCTCATTACTGACTTTGTCACACGCAAGGTATGTATATATGAAAGTAATTACTCACACAAAAGAAACTCTATATTGTGTTTGATCAAAAGCTAACTCCTTTACGGAGCCTACAAACGGACCTTTGTAAATGAACTTTTATTGAGAAAAAAATGTCTTTTAATGACAATTTGGGGTGAATATACAGGGAAACGTTCGCGAGGAATTTCACACCAGTAATTAAGCCTACTTGAAATTATTACACGCTTTAATTTCCCACCATTAGTTAAGAACTACTGGAAAGTATCGTACACGCTTTAATTTCATAGCAGTAATTAAGACCTACTGGAAAGTATCGTACATGCTTTAATTTCATCCCTTTGAATATTTCTGACCTAGTTTAAAGTATCATACACCCAGTTTAGACATACTTGAAATTATCTTCCCACTAGTAGTTGGGACCTTCTTGGAAGAATCACATATGCTTTAATTTTAAACCAGTTATTTAGAACAACTAGAAATTTTTAAATTCTAAATCAGTAATTAAGAACTTATGCAAAGTATCATACACGCTTTAACATTTTTTACCTTCAGATTTTTCTTGATATCGAGCATGCGCTGTGACTGGTTGGACATTCGATCCCTTTGTCTTATCACGGTGTTTGTCAGGGAGGTGATTGTGATGCTTTGCTTGTTGATTGTTTTGCGCATGCGCTCTTTAACAGACAGATGAAAGGTGACAAGAAGTTATGATTATTCTTTTCTTACACTTTTGTGGAAAAAGCACACATAATCAAAATATGACGTTAGTATATAGACAAGTTCTTACCCATTCGCTTGGGTATATACATTTTCCATTCCTCGTGGGAGCTGACGTCTTTGGTATCCTCGACCTTGATTTTCAATGTACGACCTATATAAAGTCAAAAATAAGATACTTTGATCTTGATAAAGTAGAAAAAAAAAATCAATTACAGATGATCATTTTCCAGTAATTCAAGATATGTTTTAACTTTTATGAAATGCCATTGTACATGTAGATTTAACATTTATTATTTTGCAATAGTTAATTAACTATCCAAATCTTTGTGGAAAGAATTCCAGCAGCGTCTGATAAATATATCATATTAAAAAAATATCATAACCTTAGGTAGAGACATTTTAAAAACATGTCAATAGAGAAATGATCTATGAATTTAATATATAGTAGAACAAAACCATTAATCTCCAACACCCCCTGGAATCCCTCTTTCAGGAGCTTTAGAACTTCCTGATCACGAGAGTTCTCCTCATCACGGCTAACCTGTAAGAGAAATAATTTTGGATGATTGAAATATATATATATAAATTATATATATATTAGGGATGTCAACGAGTACAACGGGTACTCGATCGAACGTCCGAGTATCGAATACTAAAAATGGTACTCGGTTACTCGGAGTGTATTTTTTTCTTATTTCAAAGTACATATTTTTATCAAAAACTTTTCAAAAAATAACTTAAATATGCACACGGTAATTAGCGTGTCGACATCTACACCCGTAAAACACCCGTTATCGCCTGTGGCTGTGTATATATAGTAATTAGTGATCAATCATTTGGTACACAGCTGTTCTCACCTATTGTGATCCTTAATTTTTCAGGTCTAGGCGGCCTCTGTTTTTGGAGGAAAGACTTTATCCTCTGAAAACAGAGGATAGCGGTCTTGCCACCTACCGGAATTTTCAAAACTAAGGGCAGATAACTCTTAACCAAACAAATAACAGCAACTCTTGCATTTATGAACCGTACGCTGATTTCGAAATCAGAACAAATAAAAGGTACAATTTCCTATGATGATGGATAAATCCAGATATTAAATCAATATATCTATATTTTTGTAATTGCCGTCAATCAGTTATTCGGTATACAGCTTGGAAAAAAAAGTATTGCTTTTACCTGCCTGCAACTCGGGTTAATTATAACCTCGCTGATTTTCCAGTACCGTAATTATGTGATAAGCAGTTTAGAAATTTTGATGAACAATTTTTTTTTGAAAAATTAAGTTTAATCATGTATTATTTTTTTCATTTGATAATTCTTTAGCACATCACTTTTAATATTTTATTTGTTTATGTATAAACATGGCTGTATGAATATATGTTAATTTCTTAGTAAACATGTCAAATTATTTATTTTATTTACTTATGCTATTCAAATTATTCATTTATTTTTATAATTATTCATTCAATCCATTTATACTTTTATTTACTTAAATTATAAGGCAGAGTATATTTTGCGTTTTAAATACACTTAAAAATGCGTTTCATTTTGTGTTTCCTTTTTCTGAATTAAAAGAAAATATAAAAGAAATATTAAAGTCCTCTTTTATTTGTATAAATAGAGAAAAATCATAAAAAATAAAACAAAATAACAAGAAATATTCAGTAATAATGGAGCGCAAAAAGTGCTAACTTTGAAAATAAATTGCAAAATATCTAGACATAGAATCTCAAATCGCCACATACAATCGATAGTTCAATGTTTGAACTTTTATTTGTATGTACTCTGGTGCTTGCACTTTTTGATTAAAGGTAGGCACGAGGTGTTTGAAAATTACCTGTGTTATCCTCTGAAATCGGAGGATAAACTATCCCACAATGCAACGGGGTTTCCATATATGGTAAAAATTTTGGCTGCCATATTGAATTTAGCTATCCTCCAAAAACGGAGGCCGCCCAGACCTGTTTTTAGATGGCTTCAATGATTGTTTTCAGTGAACATCGTTTAAGTATGGTCTATTACCTTCAAATCATTTAGTTAATATACGACAGTGAAATCGGACATTAATAACCCACTTCACAAGTGAAGAAATATTTAGAAATAATTAAAGATTTTAAAAAATGCTCAAAGTCAGTTTGCGTAGTAAGTTAGGTGTATACGGAGGAAACAACCAGCAGATGAAATAATATTAGACTAGCTATCCCAGCAATGTCCGTTCCTTCTCTTTCCCTAGTCTAATCATCACAAACCTGCGTAACAGCTTGTCCTCCTTTTGCGTTCATGAAATAGATCCTAAACAAGAACTGTAAACCATTTGTAATTTTTGATGCATTAATTGTCTTTTGTGTTTATTTGATAAATAAATTAAGTACCAAAAAATCATTTCCGTTGGACTCGATGTTTATATACATTTACAAACGTGATAAAAACAGCTTTGGGGTTTAGCAGAGCTTAACGGGGCTCAAGAAAATTAACACATTTCTATTTACATTTTTGTTACCGAGTACCCGGGTACTCGATAGGAAAAACGTCCGAGTAACCGATTACCAAAAATTGACAGATTTGACATCCTTTATATATATATATATATATATATATATATATATATATATATATATATATATATATATATATATATATATATAAAATAATAAAAAAAAATCGGTGGGATCATTGCATGGTCATTGTGGGTTTCAGATAAACATCATCTATCTGAATTTGATTGGTTAAAGAAGCCACAACTCTGTTGAATCTGACTGATGTCGCATTTAACATCTTTTACATGAGATTAATGGCGGCTTTAACGTAGAAATACCGAACACAATGCAATAATTTAAGATACATTCAAATAAGAGAGCTATCAATAAGAGAAAAAAAAAAGCCGTTGACTTTTACAAATCTGCGCCCAAATATTCCATTAAAACTCGTACAAAGAGGTAATTACTTTGTGTGTGTCATTAATCTGAAACTACAGTACCACTAAGAACATTTATTATGGTACGTTTTATTGACCTTTTCTTGAACACAAACAAGAAGTCTGAGGGAAAAAAATAATCAAAATTCTATATAGCACTCTGATACAGCATTATCTATTTAATTGTAGTAAGTACAGGTATCATGGTCAAAGATTTCACATTAATGGAGGATTTATTACTCTATGTACTTGTGTTGTACAGTATATGCAATTTATATTCAGCCACCACAGCTATGAAAGAAACTAAGGAACGGAAACTTAATAACACTAGGCCCATGGGCCAATCGCTCACCTGAGTACTTTGGCTAGGAAAAAGCACAAATCAGTTCAGTATTGAAAAATTTAAATGGGGGGGGGCAATCTTGAATTTACAGTACCTGAGGATGCTTCCATATCAATATTAATAATGGCCTTGCTGTTCTTGCGCAGAATTTTTTTTATATCTATTTCTATGTAAAACTTTGATCCCCCATTGTGGCCTCATCCTACCCAAGGGGGTCATGATTTGAACAAACTTGAATCTAAACTACCTGAGGATGCCTCAAATTCAATATGACTAATTATGGCTTTTTATTCTTGAGACAAAGATTTTTAAAGATTTTCCCTATATTTCTATGTAAAACTTTGTTTCCCCATTGTGGCCCCACCCTACTCCCGAGGTCATAATTTTAACAAACTTGAATCTACACTACCTGAGGATGTTTCCATATTAATATGACTAATCATGGTTTTGCTATTATTGAGAAGAAGATTTTTAAAGATTTTTTTTCCTACATATTCCTATATGAAACTTTGATCCCCTATTGTGGCCCCACCCTACCCCCGGAGGTTATGACTTAAACAAATTAAGATTTACACTATGTAAAGAACCTTTTCTTAAAGTTTCAACTTTTTGGCCCAATTGTTCTTGAGAAGATTTTTAAAAGAAGCCACCAATTTTTTACTTTTTCTAAATTATCTCCCCTTGAAAGAGGGTGTGGCCCTTCATTTGAACAAATTTGAATCCCGTTTATCCAAGGATGTTTTGTGGCAAGTTTAGTTGAAATTGGCTTAGTGGTTCTGGAGAATAGTCGAAAATGTGAAAAGCTTACAGACGGACGGACGGTCGGACAGACGAACTGCAGACAAAATGTGATTAGAAAAGCTCACTTGAGTTTTCAGCTCAGGTGAGCTAAAAAGATAAAGGTTAGATACTTGGCACATTAGGACTGGATTATAGGTCAAAACTGTCATACCTGTAAACGAAAATAACTTTTTTTAAAGAAGCCAATAGAGGAAAAAAATGACGTAGTTACTTCTAAGAATAAAAACCAAATTCAGACAACAACAAAAATCTTAGACACATTTTTGGGTCATAAGCTTCCATGTTACAATGAAAGTTATACAGTGCCCGCTACGTCTTTTATCCTTAAATTGTGCTTTTGTTGGCAAACATAAACATAAACAGAGTGAAAATGATTTCTAAATTATAGAAAGAGATCAAAGAGTAACGCGTAATGTTTATTTGTTTGTTGTTGAACGTCCCTCTCGAGAATTTTTCACTCATATGGAGACACCACCAATTGCAGATGGAGGGCTGCAATTTTTTTTATTGCCCCAGCAATATATAAGATTTTTTATTGCCCCAGCAATATATAAGATTCGATGGATGGCGCCAAGGTTGGGGAGCCCTGGATTCACCAAACATTCTGATCAAATGATTGTTCACTATATCATGAATACGTACATGTAACACATGGCACTATAATAAATAAACTACTACTACTAATATAAACACTGTATATTGGGCTGCAAATTTATACCTATACTCGGCACTTAGGACCATTGAGCAGTGAGGGGTCTTTTTCGTGCCAACACCTACTGCGACACGGGGCCTCGTTTTATACGGTCTCATCCGAAGGACCGGTCTCCACGTCCCGAAGTGGATTCGAACCCGCGACGTAAGGATCAGCTCCTTACTCCGTGACTCTAGAGCACAATCGAAACTTCTCGGGCCTTTCCAACAAGCGGAAAAACAACCTCGAATGTGCTACGTAGGCTTCCATGACAACCCCCCTTTTCATAAACTTTGAAATAAATGTAGGTAGACCTTTTATCTGTAGAGTATGGAGCTCAACTTTATTGAATGTAAAGATATTACCTAAAATATACTACAGGCGTGACTTCTAACTCTGTCTTTCCAATGCTTTAATAAATAGGAAGCGACTCCATCTTGTATAAATTTCTAACATCCGGTTATGTTAATACATTCGAGGTTGTTTTTCCGACCTCCGACGGAATGACCCGAGATGATGCGATTGGCTCTAACCACTGCGCCAAGCTGGCGCATCATGTAGAGCAATTCAAATACACAAAAGAAACTGGCAAAAAATAAATAAAACATAAAACCCAATGTACTTACAGGAGTAATAGTTCTGAAAATGACACAGTTGTAACAGTATATTAGTACTGAACAAAAGTTCTCTCAAAGATCAGCATTAAATTTAAGTGTTTTGTTACTAGCCCATTCCTATCCTCGGGAGAATTCCTTGCCGATATTTTCTACATGCAGTTACATACATGTACGTACATGTATACTTTTAATGGTGTCTCAATACGCCCCCCCCCCCCCTTTTCAGCCAAGTGTTTCTTGTCACCTTCTGAGTTATCTAATTAATTTAAGGTCATAGTCGCTGAAACCTTTGACCTTTATGTTTCCTACTTATTTACCTGATGATCTTTGACCTCTGCATTCTCCGCTCTCAGGCTCTCCATCTGAAACTCCATAGTCCTGATTTTTTCCTCCAGTTCCTGATTCTGGACAAACAGTTCCTCCAGGTGATACATGTTCTGACGGCCTGCCTCATACTCTGCCAGGGTCTTCTGAAGCCTTTGACGTAACTGTAGGTCCTACAGGCAGACAGACAGGTAAAGAGAGGGAAGGAGGGGGTATACTTCATACTATAGTTGTTAATCAAATCGTCATTTCTCTTTTGAAATGACCTGAATTGCTACAGAGAGAATTTCAGTACGAATTTACATCAACTGAATAGTTTCTCCTTTACTTCTTTCAGAAACACACTTCCTTTAACCAATTCATTAACTCAAAGTAGTTGGACCCGGTTTTTAAAGCCAACTGAGTATTGGGCTTTATAAGTTTTGCAGTGGCTGCAACCATTAATTCCCACATTTACAAACAAAAGAATCACTTTATTTTTTAAATAAAACAAACCTCTACCTCCTCTTTCAAGACTTTAATCTGCTCAGACATTTTTCTAATGCTTTTTTCACTTTTAGTGTGTTGCACTATTAAGTCCTGAATGAGAGATTTCCCCATGGCGCATGCGGCACACGACATGGAGTTCCGGCTTAGAACACTGAAGACGCTACGAGGACTTGGCAGAATGGCTAGCTTATGTTCATATGTTAACGGCAGACTTGGGTGCCAGGTGATGGAAAGGGGCTGAAAAACAAAATTTCATGGAATCAAGACTTAGATTCTCACTGAACATCTAAGTTTATTCAACAGAAAATATGTTTGGCAGTCTCGAACATTTTAGAGTTGAAAGCCGCATCTCTTTGCAAACCTTTTTGCTGATATCAAAAATGGGTTCTACTTCCGGGGATTGGGAAACTATCAAATCACCGTTCACCTTCTTAACGATGGATTTCTCCGACACAATTCGAAAGATATTCTGCCATTGGTCAGTGGAGAGCGAGACCAGCGTATCCGGGTCAGAAGTTCGAATCATGACTCGTTCCTTGGTTGACCGCCTCTTTTGAGGAGGTGGATCATTGTTTAACATTTCAAATGAATCCTCTAAACCTTAAAAAGTAAGGAAAATATACAGACATTTATAGATATTCTAGATCTTAATACAAAGGCATTATACTGAAATAAATGAAAAAGGAACCTAACAGATACCGGTATAACTAACATAAAAATCTTAAATTTTTATCGAGAACTTGACAATAAACATTTTCTTATTACAGCAAAAGGACCTTAAAGAAAACTCTTTTACGGAAAAGTGGTGAGACCTGTAATCTTGATTATGTTTCTTATAGGATTTTCTGAACCTGTACAATATATACATTGGGTGAGACTGATACAATGATACACAATCTTCTAACTGGAAAGTAGTCATAATTTGATAGGGAGGATGTCCCTCCTCGGATCCTGTCCACAAAAGGCCATAATAACTTTGTAACAAATATACAGAGTCCGATAAAAAAATGTCTAATTCTATATACATATAAATTCAACATTGCTCCGATTTTCAGTGAAATTTAAGCAAGTTTAAGATGTTTCGAAAATCAGATAGTTAGTCAAATTTTAGACATATAAGGACAAAATTTAGTTAAAGGTTCTGAACACTTGAAAACACAAAACTTCAGCTGCGTGAAATCTTTGTCAAAATAATAACTGAATTCCATGAATAGAGAACTTGGGTCATCAACATTGTAATATGGAATGTAGCTATCTAACTCCATTTCTCTGATTAACTTCATTACTCTAATTAGCTTCATTAACTACTAATAATTCATTACTCTGACCAAACATTTGTCCTCTGTTCTGTAATGTATCAAATACATGGCTCCTCAAGTTTAAAAAATCACTTTAAAACAAATTTAAATGATTTACAAAGAAACAGATAAACAGACAGACACTGACAAAACCTAAAGTTTAATATATCAACATTTGTTAAAAGATCATTCTTCTGATTAAAAAAAATTAAATCCTTTATAATTTATAATCAATAAGTTTTGAGTGATTTTTTCAATTCATTTGTTCAAAAAACATCCTATAGATGAATATTAGAATATAATTTGTCACCATAAAAATGATCATTGTGGACAGTTAACATGCATAAAAGGATTTTAGTATTAGTTTTAAAATTGGGTGGCGTTTTTCTACCTCTTTTTCTGTTTGGAATGAAATAGAACTGGTCATCACACTGATTATCACATTCAAATCCCGGCTCCATGGTTAGAAAGGTAAAGGATGAGTCTTCCTGTGCCCTCTTCTCAAGGCCGTCAAAGTGAAGGTCATCCTCATACCCAGGCAATGATTGAAACCGGAAGTTGTTGCTTACTCCGACAACGTGATTGTCCCTGGTGATGTACAGGAAACAAAAGTCGGTGTCTTCCTCCCGTACGTCCTGTCAAAACAAAGTTTTGTTGACCATTCAAACTTCATTGTAATTTAACTTTTTTAAGGTTTTAAATAAAATTATACAACTAGATTGAATATACAGTACAAAGCAGAATTATACAACTAGATTGTATATACACCACACAGCAGAAATACATGTATGTTACTTAATGCAACAAGGCAATGCCAGTGTTTTCGAGAGCATTATACATGAATTAATTCTTTGAACACTGAAAATTTTATATGATCGGTTCAAAAGCTCCCTACAGCCCATAGGACTTTAATTAATAGTTTTTGATAAAAAGTGAATCTACTTATTTAGAAAAAAAGATGTGTTTGTCAAACACGGATGCCCCTGTACGGCAGATCATGGCGAAGGATAAAGTTTCTTAAATGCAGGTCAATCTCCAAGGTCAAAGTCAAGAGATCAGAAATGGAGGTCTTGTCACAAGGAATACACCTGTGAAATACGAAAGCCCCAGCACAAACCGTTCAAAAGTTATGTCCAAGGATAAAGGTTTTTGAAAGTGGGTCAAACTTCAAAGTCAAGAGGTCAAATTTGTTGGTACCCAAAGAAAGGTCTTGTCACAAGGAAAACACATGTGAAATATGAGAACCATAGCTCAAACCAATCAGAAGCTATGGGCAAGGTTAAAGTTTTTACGGACAAACAGACAGACAGACATAGCAAAAACTATATGGCCCCGAATCTTCGATTACGGGGGCATAAAAAACAACAATTAAATTATGATAGCTAACAGAATGACGAAAGCTAGAAAGTGCTAATAATACATATTACAATGCTTGATGTGGAGCTTTTCATCTTGGACTCGTCATATACTACGAATGTTTGAGGAGTGAAATCAAAACTTTATTTTTTATAAATGAACAGTACGCCACACACAATACTGATTAATTAGGAATGTGTGTTCATCGGTAACCATATCAACACCCATTATGTCTGTCTCTAATGAAGTCTTATTAAATAGGATTATGACGATATTTTGTCGTAAATGAGATCCAAAAGATCCAAGAGAATAGATGGAAACCTAAACACTGACTTTTCTCTAATTAAGTTTTTTTATGATCAGCCTTCACTTCTGACGAAATCTAAATATCATATCCTTATTTTCCTCATCAGTGACAGAAAATATACCAACATTTTTAATTAATGAAAGTTGACCGTCGAAGTAAATATGCTTACTTTTAAGGTGAGATATCCCTCTGGTCTAAATTTCACCATTTTTTTTTTAAATTTCCAACATTGATTTCATCAACAACAATAGCATTAGATTCAATGGAAAATAGTTTGAAGTATGAAGCGTTGCTTACTTTTTCCGAAATGAATATTGTGTCTAGTCATGAAGAAAATTTGAGACGGTGAATAAAGAGATCAATATTTTTTTTATCACAACATAAAATTAAAAATTTGAGGTATACATGTATATGAAAATAATATTTACTGTCATACCTATTTAATTCATATTAGAAAACATAATGAAGCGTTGCTTTTTAAAGCAGAATATCACATCGTTTTCTGTGCTTGTAAAATAAAAATCCAACCATCTACAAGAGTTATCTATCCATCTACAGGAGTTATCTTTCTTCAAATTATTTTTAAAGAGAAAATATTTAATTATGAACATTCTGCATCTGATACATGATAAATTCCTGTAACAACTAAAAGAATTATATGATAAGAGATAGAAATATCTCGAATTTAACAGTTTAAAGGAACTGAGCACAAATGTTTTAGGTAAACTATTATAAGTATAAATAACAAAAATATTGGCAGTAGAAAATAGAAATCAATATTAGTAACATATTTCGGTTCTGATTGAATTGACTATAAAATGGTCCTCATTATTAAACTCTGGTAGGGCAAAACAGTGGCTAACCCGGAGCAATTTCCTTGGAAAGTTATCTCTCTTATCTCTCTTATCATTACATCTACAATTACATGTGTATTTGAATAAGACATAAATATGAATAGAGAGAGAGAGAAGAATCAATGACTATCAAAATAATCATATATATGCATTAATATATTATTAGATTGTAAAACACATTTTGTTCAAAGATCTTCTTTTTTTTTTTTTTTGGAGGGGGGGGGGTGGATCAATGAGGAACATCATGACTGAAGTTTGAGTTGTACCATACTTACGGCAAAACTGTGAAGTTTGAGTTGTACCATACTTACGGCAAAACTGGAAACCTGAAAAATGACAGATCTGCGCCTTCTGTGAACAGTGTTTAGGTTGTGAGGCAACATCGGGGCCCATCGATACTCCAAATAGTCCTTCACAGAACTCCATCCCGAATAAAACAAGCCCACCCAATCATTTGTGTGGGGGTGGAAATCCAAACCCAGATCATATGTAACCGGGAGAGTCTCAAGACCAGAGGTGATATCCTTGATGGAGCGGAAGACAACCAGGTCAAAAATAGGGTTGATGGTGTCCATCTCTTCAAAATCGGCCATTACTGATATGCATGTAGAAAGATTGTAGAGAAAAAATTAAGATATTCTTTAAAAAATCTTAACATTGTTGCGACATATAAAAATATTTTAAAATAAAAAGGCTAAGACAGAACATTTTACATGAAGGTTAAACGAATTATTTGCATGTAATCAGATACATGTATCGCGCCATCACCCCATCCCCTTCATCCCATAAAATACATGTAATTCCTTTGAAATTTTTGTCTAAAACCAGAGGCCTGTTCAACAGCGCGAACGTTCGCGAGCGCTCGCCAACATTTCTGTTGAAAGGATAAGGAATTTAGACGAGCGCTCGCGGACGTTCGCTCTGTTGAACAGGCCTCTGGTTCTATTCTACATGGCTTTTATTTTACATATACATGTACTCGACTCATCTTCAGAAAATAAGAAAGTATTTATGAATATATTGATTTATAGAAACGGTAGTTTAATTCAATAATCAGTAGATAATAAAGAAATGCATTTCAAATACATGTATACCTTTATCTGTAAAACAGCGAATCCCGACAATAACTAAGGTATGAATATCTAAAATGAAAGAAAAAAACTACATGTTTTAAGGTACATGTATCAAATCAACTGTTTACTGGTTAATATTCAAAACACTTCCATAAATGTATGATGTATAGTAGGGATTCACCAAACATGTGAAATTTCAGAAATTTACAATTTCAGAAATCCCAAATACGATAAATAAATCGCCAATAACAAAATTTTACATTTTTCAGTGACCCTTTTAGAGGCAAATTAAAAACAACGGAACATAAAAATTAATAAACGAGTAAATAATGCAATGTGAAAAATACAATGCTTTCAATCTAAATCTAGATTAACTATTTCTATGAAATGTAAACCAACTTACATGTATCGAATAATGTATGATTGTGACGTCATAATTGGAATGTACATGTATGTAACTGCTTCATATTAGATCCATTATGACGTCATAATTATCAAAACTTTTAAACATTTTCCCGTGCTACGTAGAAATGGGGGCATTTTCAAGGCATTTCTTGTTTGTCCAAGCTATCGTTATAAACCATCATTAAATAAATTCATTTCTCAAATTTAGAAACCTATAAAACTCTTTCATTTAGAAGATCCATACAGCAACAGTGTAATTTAATCACATTGTAAGAATTTCGAGTTATCATCACAATTTCGTGATTACACACACACACACACACACACACACACACACACACACATATATATATATATATATATATATATATATATATATATATATATATATATATATATATATATATATATATATATATATATATATATATATATATATATATTTCTAACAAAATTAAGCATCTATATATTTTTTTTAAATGTTCTTTTGTAAATGTACAGGAAAAAGTTTTTAAAGTAGCATATAAATTGATTACAAATGGATATAATGCCTTGTCCTTCATGGTTATTTACGAAGGTTTTCCTTAGTGCCTTGTGATGAGGTATCTGTGTTTTTTACTATCATTGTTTTTTTTCTTGATATCTAGGACTGAGTACAGACATCTGTGTTTTTTACTATCATTGGTTTTTTTTCTTGATATCTAGGACTGAGTATACAGAACTGTAAGTCGGACAGTAGAAAAACTTCTATCTGTCTTTAATATCAGTACAAAGTACCTTATCACATAACTTAGTAGACAATTATATATTCGTCACAGTTCAACAAATTTCATCATGTAGCTTAATTATGGTTAGTTTATTTTGCATTGATAAATCCTTTATTACATATAATGGAGTTTCTTTATATATTTGCTAACAAGTTCGCAGCACTTTTAAGGCGAACTATAAAGAAATCAACGGAATATAGACATGCACAAATACTCAGTAAATACCTTTTTAAACTGAATTTATTTGTATAGCAAGTATATTATCACATGAGTTTAATATTAATTGAAATAACATAGTGTATCCAACTCTGTATTGAATCTTATTTGGTAGTCACACGATGTGTACTGCATGGAGATCGTATACGTAAAACATTTCAATATCGGAAGGGCATACCCTAGTGCAAATTAAAAAGTTAAGTGATAAATTGCTTCTACATATCTTGAAGTTTCTGGAAAGTGTTGTTACTTTAAATAGAATTTGCAATTTATTAGTTCAGATTTCAAATAATTGGGCTAAAATTGAAATATGTGTAACCTTTGCCAAGTATTTTATGTATTTATTAACTAATGCTCATGATTTCAGGAAAGCAGCAGCACTTTTCAAGTTAAGGAATATTTCCTTTATTTACATTCAAAATATGGTCAAGATATATTTAGTGCATGCAAAAAAGTCGATTTAATGAGGTACCTCGCTGTTAAACATGCCAACCCTGTACACAAAAACACAGTGAAATTAAATCTATTACATTCTCTCGATATGTATTGAATAATGGCGTTAAACTAGGCTTCGCATATACAATATAGACAGCTGTAAATTGTTGTTTTTTCCCAAAGGAACTAGAAAATATACTTACCGTGTTATTGCTCATTTGCAAAATTATAAATTACATGTATTTTGTTGAAATACATTCTGATTGTACATTAAAGTACTCTGAAGTTGATAGTAAACAGATGCTTGAGATTCTGATTGAAATATCTAGTATGTAGTGATTGGAGACCAGGTCTTCCAACAATCCGTTGGAATTACCATAGGTACCAACTGCGCCCCGTTATTAGCAGACCTATTTTTATATTCATTTGAAGCAGGATTTTAATATTCAAAACTTCTACACGAGAAGAAAACGCTTGCGACATTTAGATATAATGACGACATATTATCAATTAACAATAGTTGCATCCATTCATATGTCGATTCGATATATCCCAGTGAGCTTGAAATAAAAGATACCGCAGAGTCTGACACATCTGTTTCATACTTGTATATTTTACTAGAAAAAGACGTGAATGGTAACCTAAGTTAACTAATAACAAAACTTTATGATAAACGTGATCACTTCAACTTGCAATTGTCTATCGTCAACTTCCCTTATCACCTGCATATGGAACTTATGTATCCCAGTTGAGGATGCTTCATGTACAATGCGAGACAATTTAGTATTTTTTTAATATTCCCGAAAAGCCAAATGAAAAACCCGAGGACACAGAACAAATTTTTGTATGAATTTATGGAGAATGACATGAAGGTAGACAATGAATTGACCAAAACAATCAGCTTTGAGAGGGTTCATAGATCAGGACCCGTTGATAAGAAAAATTATAGGAAAATTGTAGCAAAGTTTAGTTTTCATAAGGAGAAAGAAATTGTTCGATCCCATTCAAAAACTCTGAAGGGTACAAACTTCTTTGTCCAGGAACAGTTTCCTACGGAGATTCTTGAAACAAGAAAAAACTATATCCTTTATATAAAGAACCAGAAAAAATAATCAACGAGCAAATCTGGTGGTGAAAAAAATTTATGTAGACGGAAAAGAGACAAATCGCTAAACGACACAGCTTAGTACAGCAGAGAGGGTTCATGTCAACGTCATTTAAAGATATGTAGCTGGATTCAAAGGCAGATAAGTCACCAGGTTTTGATTTTATATTAAATACAGATTGTTATCCATCTGTTTGGTTTTGTTGAGATTTTATCAAAGTTAAATAACTTAGAAATTAGATTTTCACATATGGAACAAACCTGTCAACTTGCAGAGAAAGTAGATAAGTTTAAATCAAGCTCTGGTGCTTTGGAAGGCACTACAAACGCAATCAAAAGTGATTTAGCTAAAACAAAAGACGAAACTCTGGATCTGAAAATTAGAACAATGTAGACAAGAAATATAATGTTTAAAAAAAAAAAGTACAACACCTATATACATACCCCCCCCCCCCACTTCCACCCAATGCTAAATCCATGCATGTTTGCTATACGCGAGAAAAAAATTAAAATAATATAAGCGAAACTTTCGTGTTATAACGCAAAACTAATATAGATGTGGAACGTTTTTTTTAACAATGTATTTTTTGTTTGAAAGTGTCAGAATCTTTATTGTAACAACTTTTAAGTGTATTCAAAGTACACTCAAAATTTTATTAATTTATTTTACATTTAACAATCCGAAGTGAAGCCCCTATAATTGAGCTGTTCAGATGTCATATATAGCTTTGCAATTGTGAAATTGAAAACATTGTCGTAGCTTCAGTATGCCGACTGCGTCAGTAAATAAGTCTTACGCTCAAAGTTATTTCAAAGTAATTGTATAAATGAGATATAAATATCTTGACATCACTATAGCTGTAAGCAAGCAAATGCTATGGCATCTCTTTGCCAAAGTGTATTTTTTCTTTAAAGGATTTACGATTTTGTTTAAGCTTTAGAAAAAAAAATTCTAAATAGCCTGTGTTTGTTAGAATGACTGTGCATGTGTGCTGACGTCAATAATCAATAATAATTAACAAAAATGTAAAAAGCTTACCTTTCTTATTAGCTTTGTACTTGACGATATTAGGCAGATGATTATGACGTCATAGAAACAGGAGTGATAACTCTTATATTTCGGCCTCATTCTCCCTCACAGAGTTGACGTTCGTTCCTCTTTCAGACTCGTGAATGTATGAGCCGAAGGTTGATCTAGCCCACTACCCAAGGTCATCCTAGTGGAGGAACAAAAATTATCGACACATCTTCCCATATTGTCATTCATTGTATTTTAAGTAAAGTAAATGCGAATTTTTTATGGATTTTGATCGATGTACAACTTTGTATTTCTTAATGTTTTAATTGTTTTTAACTTCTATCCAACCTGATTTTTTTTTAAAATAATATGTTATTGATTATATCGATAAAACAATATTCTCTGCTTGATTCTACATTTTATATGAGGAGAAAACTTATACCAGCTAGTGGAAGACCAGTTTTTTTTTGTTTTTTTTTTGTTTTTTTTTTTTTAAGTGAAATATGCAATGAATGTTCATTCTGAACCTACAGTTTATACATATGGTGTTTTACGACATATCCAAACATATTTCTTTCTTTTTAGAATTTTTATTTGTGGAAAAAAAGCTGAATTTCATTTTCACAAGTTTTAATTAAGTAATAAAGTAAATTCATACCACAACTTTTGTTGTTTCACGTGTGTGTGTGTGTGTGTGAGGGGGGAGGGCGTTTACAGAGAAAATGTTAAATTCTTGATTTAATGATATTCTAATGTAAGAATTATAAGAATCAAGCTAGTGTTACATATGGTAAACATATAGTTGCTATTTAGGTACGATGACTGATCAATGATAAAGTATATGAAATGAAAAGTAATCCATATATATATATATATATATATATATATATATATATATATATATATATATATATATATATATATATATATATATATATATATATATAAAAGATACACTGCCAGTCCTTTTCTAAGAATACATACAAATATTAAAAATGTAGATAAATCATTTTTACTCAATAATACATCGTAAATTGACAAAGCTATTACTTCTTTAAATCAATCGGTACTTTAAAATTTTATGTCATTTAAAGGTTGATCTTAATGAATTTTATGACCCCCC